CTTGCGCGCTATCTTTAAAGGATTATAGTAATACTGTACACATATTAAAGTGACATATAGGTCCAATGGGCCTGGTGTGATGTATATACGTTTATATTGTATTTACTTGTTGACTATACACATGTCACTATAATAAAATATTTACTTACTTACTTACTTATAAGAATTAATGCTTTCTAATCCAGGCAGCAGAAACTTATAGGACAGAATCAACCCATGCCTCAATACAGAAGAGCCATGCATCTCAGGAAGTAAATCGACTCAGAAAAGATCTGGAAATTACAAAGAGAGAGAGGGACCAAGTAAATTAATTTTAGTTATTTCAGTTGTTGGAAAAAGCTTGTGTAATGAATATTTAACATAGCTCTTAAAGCTTTACCAATTCAAAATTTTGTGTAAAGATGAAAACATGTAGTTGAAATTAGGGGAGATACTAAAAAACTGAAATCTTGAATGCCACAGATATGTCCATATATAAGTGATTAGGAAGTCTCACCCCTCTTTCTTCAAGTATTTATTCTAAGTATCTCAAATCCTTGCATATAAAAAAAGAAAGAAATTACATATCCCATTGAGTCAAAGATAAGAAGTTTTGACTGTATTTTATTGCAGCCCGGAGGACCGGGCTGCTCTATACATATAAGTTTAAGTGTTGGTGTATGGGGATTGGTGTGGGAGTAGTTAAGTAGAATTAAAGGTTTTCTAAACATTGAAAAGATTGTTAATCAGAATGTTCTTTCCGTTTATAAATTACGAGATACATAATATATTTACTTCCATAAAGTTTATCTGTAAAAATGTATATGTTTTTCATATTTAATATATAAAGTTACTTATCATTTACTATCGAAACAACGACAGGTCCCTTTTTTTAGAACATCGAATTTTACTTCTCGGATAAAAACGTACTCTGCACAGTTCGTGTTTTATATTCTAAAATTGAAAATTAATACATTTTTAATTGTAAATGATGCGTGTGTCTAACTTCAATTTATATTTTATGCAACCAACATTTACTTGAGGAATTGATCAAGTTTAAAATGGTATCATTTTTGATTGAATTTTATTCGACTACAAGTTTTTAAAAATATTTGCGACTATCGTCTCCATCAATGTGCCTTTTTACACATATCGAAGCAGTTTGCTGATCAAGACTCATTTTCATCAAGGCTCATTTTCATTGTTTACTTTAAATATTTCCCGGGCGACAATTGATGGTTACATCAATATTTTCTTGTTTATTCTTATGACAAGAAGGATAATTTTGTATGCAACATTTTCAGGATAAAAGTAAACTAGAGATGGAGCTTGAAGCATTAAAGAGAAGATTACACAAAGCTGAGCGAGAACTTGTCAACAGTAAAGAAGAGTGTATACATTTAACAACAAATGCTCAGGCTTTAGAGAGAGAGGTATGAATTAGTTGTATAAAGATTTGATGCAATACTTTTTAATGTGTATGAGTATTTTGTAAAGCTTTGATTACCAACTATTATCAAAAATGTATTTTTATTTTCAATACCAGTATTCATTTTGCATTGCAAACATGAAGGAATACAATTATTGAAGAATACTATACATAACATGTATATAAAATGTTCTTCAAACTATTGTGACATGATGCTTAAAAAAGATATTTCAAGCATTTTTGTGAATACAGTTGGAAATGGTTATTGTATCAATCATACATGGTAATTCAGTGGTATAGAAAACTTCACAGAAAATAAAAGCAAAATTATATGTCAGATGATTTGTATTGCATCTTGTAGTAAGAATGATTTTCTGATTAACAAGGATTTGATATATCTCTCTCTCTTTATATATTTACTATGGACATATTATTTTTTGATTATTAATACATGTTTCCCATTTCTTTGAAGCTACACTTAGCAAAATTGGCCAAAGAGAGTGTAGAGAAGGGAAGAAATGAGGATCTGAAAGCCATGACTAAGAGAGCTCAAATGAGAGAGGAAGAACTGAACAGTTTTATAGAGGACATAGGGGACAAACATGGTAATGTAATATTCATTAATATTGGTCATAGTGAAAGTCAAGGCCTCTTATCACATTTCTAAAAAAGGAACCTGAAAAATGCTTTTACAGAATTTTTATGGCTTATTAGAAAGTTTGTAGGTAGTTATAAGTGGAAAATATTAAAATATTATATACAATATTGGTACATTTATCTGTTTTTTAAAAAATAATTTTGAAAATATTTTCATACCTTTATAGAGAGAACAGCACAGGAAATGGATGTCATGTTGAAAAAACAGAATCGTCTTTTGGGCAAACTACGGGACGAATGTAGGCGGCAAGCAGGGCAGATAGAAAAACTCACAAAAAGAAATAGGTTTGTTTATCAAAAGTTAATATTTGGAAAGGCAATAATTATCTAATATACATGTACATGCATATACTTTAAAATGTAAATGTTTTGTTGAAATAAGGTAAATAATAATATATTGAACATAAAATCAACCATTCTTGATAAATGATGGTTTACTGAAAGGAAAAAAAAACTTGGTATTAGTCTGTCTATTCAGATCTTTTCATAAGTGTCTTAATGATTTGATTTACTTAGGAATGAGAATGGTCAACTACGCAGACAGAATGAAGAGCTGAAGTTACGCCTGGAGCGAGCAGTAGCACGGTTAGAAGATCTCGACAACCAGGCAGATCAACATGGCAGAGTGCACGAGAAAATGAAAGACAGACTGAAAAAGATGGACGAACTCGCTCAGGAGCAAGGACAACAGGTAAATATTGTATTCAGTGCTTCTTTAAAAATATTTTGTTGTAAAGGTAAATGGAGAACTGATGACAGGGGCATTGTTTTCATATCTCGTTTCTGTAATCGAGTTGTCTCCCTTTGCATGCATTTTTCATTCTCCCAAAAACTGAAATTACTAGTGTATGCAATGAATTGTATACTACATTAAAATTACAGAAATCTACTTGTGTAACCTGGGTTGGAACAGTTTATGCTTTGTGGTATAAAGGATAAAATGTCCCAACCCAGGGGCATTAATGCTTTATATACACTACAAGGATATGGATGTTCGAGAAACAAAATTCAGTTGTATCTGTAAGCAGAGACTCAAGTGTTTACCTGAAACTTATTTTCTGAATGTGTTTTTTTTCTCCTATCATAGATATTAGATCTGCTGGCCCAGCACAGTGCATTGTTAAGGGACAGACAACTCCTGTCAAGAGAAGTGGAATTCCTGAGAAAACAGATCATTAAATCTAACGAAGAGGACCTGGAAAAATTCTTCTCCTCCAATAAAACACTTGTGGACGACATTATAAAGAGTGTTAATAGTGAGGAGATGGAACTCAAGTATAAACAAAAATCTGTGATAATTTCAGACAATAAAGAGGAGGATGTGAAAGACACGTAGTGCCAATTTTTATTCAAATTTATATCCATGTTTTGTACATTTATATTTATTTAATAAAAAATTAATTTTTTAGATGCAGTTTTATTTTTGCAATATTCAGATTTTTGCTGTACACAATTTACAAAATGGTTACTGTTGGCCAGAGATTTCGTATTGCGATATTTTTAAAATTGTATTGCGATTTGCGATATGTATTGCAATATTTTCAATGAAAATTACAATGACATTTTCTTATTATATTAACTTTAATTTACATGCAAAATGTACATAACTATAAAAAGTAACCAAAAGGAAAAAATCTTGTTGATTTTATTTAAGTTATGCTCCGAAATACATCCATAAAACAGCTTCTGTCTTGCTGCTTGGCTTTATTATATGCTTTTCTTACATTTATTTTTATATTTAATGATAAAATTTCCAAGTCTAAGCATTTTGCCGATATATCGATATTACAAAAACATATTGCAATATGATATTTTTTATCACTGTATTGCAATATACCGAAATATCGATATTTTTGCCCAGCCCTAGTAACTGCAAATCAGTAGGAACTGGCATTTTATCTCTTGTTATATCTTTTATTGCCATTTAATAATATTTAACCAGTTTAACACTTTCATATTATTTAGTTGAATCTGATTCATTGAGAAAGAAAGAAAAATGCTGATAAAACTACGGCCTCCAATGCTATTGCTAAATGAAGAAGATATTACAATGATTATTGATGAGTGAATTCCCGGGGAAGCAGTAAAATTTGAGGGACTGAAATAGAATTCGTGGACACAAAATCCTGAATATTATTTTATTTCAGCAAATTTTTACATTTTGTTTCCACGGATTTGATTTTGTTCCCACAACATTTATTTCATGGATATTATTTAAAAAAAAAATCAAATGCGCTAATAATAGTCATATTAGATGCTTGCGTTTTAATCATTCTCTTCAGTTAATAAAAAAACATCCTTTACTATTATTTTAGCTCTGAAGTTGATAATTTTTTTAAAATAGAAAACATTTAAAGTGCCAAGTATACCCCCGGGATCAAAGGCCCTGCATTAAAATGTTTAAATGGGATAACTTTTGGTTTAAAAATACAAGTGCTTATGGAAAGGATACCCTTGTTACACGTATTTACGCCCAGTGAATTCGGTTTACTTTGTTTTACAATATCAAAACGCACAATTTTTTTAACATTCGACAGATTATGGGGTAAATCTCCCTGCTTCCCTCCCCGGGTTTTACATGAACCACCCCTTTGGACAACTGCAAATCAACTCTGTCTTTTTAAGAAATAATACCGCAATTCAAGAATTGTTATTTTTTTTGGGGGGGGGGTATACTCAGCATAGTATTATTTATATGCAGAATTATGTTGAGGTAGACATGTACATTGCAGGATAAGTTTTCAACCCAGATCAAAATTGCAAAAAAAAAAAAGTATGAAAGAAAGTAATCTTCGCTAAATTTCCTGTCGTTTCGCGCGTAAATTAAACTATTTTTGATGATGATGTAGTTTTTCTATTCCAATAACCAATCAAGGATCGTGTTCTTCAACAACGAAGGCTACAATTTATCCCCGAGTATTGCATTGAGCGCGAATTCGTGTCATTCTACGCACAGGAGAAAATGCCTGCGAAAGGAAAGAAATCGGGAAATACAGGCCTCACAGCAGCAGATAAACCAAAACCTAAGGGTTCTGGAAAATCCGCATCGGGAAAAAAGAAACAGACCAAGAAAAGGACAGAATCCTTCAAAGTTTTCATCATGCGAGTTTTAAGGCAAGTTCATCCCGAGCTTACGATTTCTAACCGCTCCATGGGTATAATGAATTCGTTTGTCATCGACATTTTTGAAAGAATTGCCTCTGAAGCGTCTAGACTGGCCAAGTATAATCGCCGACCAACCATGAACAGCCGTGACATCCAGACGGCGGTTCGTCTGCTGCTTCCCGGGGAATTGTCCAAACACGCGGTGTCCGAGGGGACCAAAGCTGTCGCCAAGTACACTAGCTCCACTTAGACCAAGAAACCAAGCAACATTGTGTCAGTAACTATAGAAAACTTTTTTTGAAGGATTTAAGTTGTGAAGAATAATGCAAACGAATTGTATTGTGTTATTTTTATTTTAGTACAATGCTTAACGAAGGGGATATGTTCAATTTAAAAAAAATGAGTTGATTTATATCATATGTACATGTACTAGAATTTTATGAATAAAAAGAGCTAGTTTCAGAGTTATGCATTTAGTTAAGAATCGAAATTCGATCTTGAAGTTAGTTCTTCGGAATTCAAAATGATTGGGGTGTTGCATGGAAAATTCATCTCATTCAGCAACAGCTTGGTTAAATTACCTCCCCCCCTCCCCCCAATAAAAAACTTAAATGCCAAACTCGCCTCTCCTTGAAACTGGAATAGGGAAAAGATTCTGGTCTGGTGGTGCAATCTTTTTAAGTATCTTCTTTTTAAGTAGATGAGATTTTGTACAATATCTTTTAAGGGTATTTTTGAGTTGTGTAGATAAAATCATGACGCTTTGGGGATGATATGGCTCTTAAGGTTCATCGACAGTCTTCAATGTGAAAATTATATTGAACCAAGATATAAATCTTCCGCTTTTCTACTAAATTACGTGACTTATCCCCAGGAAACATGTGCAAACACAACACAGTATCAGAAACAGAAATCACTGTTGTTACTTCCATAGAGAAAATACTTGTAAACAATATGTTCAATTAATATACTAGTATCTTGGCTTTTTAAAATGATAATAGAATTGATTACAAATTGGGTAATATACTGTAAATTTCTAGTTATTGGAATGAAGATCTAAGGGCAGATCACTCTAACTAGAAAGAGACAATCGGCAATCCTCGGCTGACTCCGCTACGCTCCATTCACTGACTGATGAGATTGACTACATCCTCATGTTAACAGGCTTTGAAAGCAAGAAAAAACTGTTAAGTGTGCCACAAAATAACTTCGATTTCAAATGTATGACATTCGAATGAAATTCAAATAAGATCACATGACTGAATCAGCAAGATGGTAGATCACCGTTGACGTCCGAGGTTATGTGCGAGGTACGAGTCTATATATGGTATTTTTGATTTGTGCAATGTGCAGAGATAGTCTTCAGTTATACCCATCAATGGGCACTGTTACCAAAAGTGGTAGTTTTTGGAGAAGCTATAGTGATAAAAAGAGAAATGCTTTAGAACTCTTTGACAAAGTGAAGTATTCAAATTTTGATAAAATCAACCCTAGTGTCGAGAGTCTTCTATTTGAAAAGTGTAACAGTTTAGAGAGGGCTATTAAATTCTGAGCAAGGATCAAGGTGGCTGCATCACTGAAGAGAGAACTATTTTTTTTCTGAAATTGACATTTTAAATCATTATTACATATTACAAATTGCAAATATTTTAATATTTCTGGGTTTATTATTTGAAAAATTAGCTGAAAGGACCAAAATATTGAAATTTAAAAAAATCACATTAAATTGATATCAGACATTACATTTAATATGAAACATGATGATAAGGAGTAAACGAACAGTATTCAAAATTAAAAGTCCATGAAACAATACAAAATATGAGCAGAGCAAACACACACCTCCAAAACATCAGAGGTGGGATCAGGTGCCATGGAGGAGTGAGCGTCCCCTGCCGACCGGTCACACCCTCCGTGTGCTCCTTGTCATGATTGGGAAAGAACAGGAAAATCCGTAGTCAATTCAGTGTATGAATAGCAGACTAACAAATAGTATGAAAAACGTCAATCGGCATTTGACTCAATGATAAATTGTATTGGTGACAAGGTCATTGTATTGACCATAGAACTGATAACTGAATAGAATGATGGCATAAACGAGACTGTTGGTATTCGTGTTTCATCAACTTGTTTGTCAATAATTTACCTCGTATTGTTCATACGTAGAGCATGCTCTTGCGTATCGAATCAAATGAGATATACTCTGTGTATGCAGGTGATGAAGGTATATTGCTGCTTAATTAAGGGAAATTTACGATTGAAAAGTTAAAGTCATCTCGTTTATCATACCTTTTATCTCAAGCTCACCGGGATATGTCGTATCGACATAAAGAATGAAAACTACCATTGTTAATTGACAATATATACGTCGTCGATATATCTAAATGTCCAGTTGAATGCCACAGCAAAAGTTTTCTTCTTTTCACGTATTAGATTTTGGGCATGTTTTGCTTCATATGAATACAAAAATAGGTCTGCTAATAACGGGGCACAATTGGTACCCATGGGAAGAATATGCGGGCGTTTAGGAAGACATTTCAGTTCAGCTAGAAGGTGGGAGCACAATCAAATATTTCAGTTTGGATGAAGGACTATCAAACCAAATATTTATTGAGAAGAAAAAAAGGGGATATCAGGCGTTATTTTTTAGGGAACAAGCAAAGTAGTTACATGTATTTATTCTACATGATATCTTTACCCTGTATTTAGAAAATGCATAGGAAGAGTATAATACAAACCCTTACGTAACTGTACATGTCTACAAAAATAGTAACGGACGGGAAACTTTATATAGACCCGATACTCGGACCATTCTGCATTTCAGACACATGCTCGAAATGTCGCTATCATAAATTCCCTTCTAACAATTAGCAATTAATGTTTAACATGTTAAAAACATTATATATCAAACAGTCATAGTATGTAAATTCTAAAAGACGTAGTTTAAATTCCTGAAACAGATGTGAGATAGTGTAAACCTGAATGTCTACTCGTGAATGATTTCAATAATGCCATAAATGATGAAATAAAGTGTTGCCAGCAGCCATATACTATTCGCTACTCTGTAGCACTTGTTTCTAATGATGAGATTTTCAAATCACCATCCACATGCATACAACGAGGATTTGACTGAAACCCGATTGCAAAAACCGGCAGGTGGGCCATATGTTTCATTGTAACATTTGTCATAAAGTAAGCACATCATCATTTATTAGTTGAATCAGAATCAGATACGTATAAATTGAGCATTATTGTTTGTGTATATTATAAAGATTATTTGGACTAATAGCAGTATGGTAAGGTTTGAACTCTATAAAGAACTTTTTAGATTAATAAGGTTAATGTATAGAATGAACGCATGCTATCATGATTTTATTATCTCTAGATCCTAGTATAAATGTATGCTCTCAGATATGAAATTGTATATTTTTTATGATTTTATTTTTTTTTGTGGACATTTTAGCTTCGTTGGATCATTCTAGCTGCTCTTTTGGCCTTGGTAAGCACACAGTGTAACGATTTCGCTTTCCAATATGAATGTCTGCAGAACGCAAACCGGAAGTTGTCTGTCTGTAAGCAGTGCGAGAATACTTTGGTATCCAGACTTCAATGTGAGCTAAACTGTCTACAGGATGCATATAGAAGAGTAACACACTGTATCATTCTGGAGTGAAAACAGCAACATGAGAATAAAATCAATACGTATTAAATCAAATGTATAATTCTTTAATTATCATCAATATCCTATCGTGAACTTTGTATCAAAATGTTTTTTTTTATATATAGAATCGATGTCAGTTTTCATGTGATTTGTTTTATCATGAAGATAATTTTTTTTTCTTTGTACTTGGTGCTTTTAATTAACCTTTCAAAGCGATATAAAATTATTCTTTTATTCTTTTATTTCGGTGTAGTACGTAAATGTATATTTAAAAGTTCTTATAATAAAATTTTGGAACAACGTAATAATTACTAGTATCACTTAATATACCTTAACAATAAATTCTAGGCCAATATGTTATGACTTATTTGACGTGACCTATTATGAACGTTTATGAAAGTCATAAAAATATGGTAATTAATATAATAAAATGAAAAGTTCTAATTTATCTTTTATAATTGTTAAAAAAACCCATATACTAAAATAAGATATTATTCACAGTATATTTTAACCAAAAAAAAAAAAAATGAGAGATGTCTGATTTTAAAATGTATTAGTATGAGTCTTTTTGTAAAATCCAGAATAATACCTTAAAAAAATATCAAAATTTATAAGATGTGAAAAATATTCATTGATTTTGAGAAATACTTTACCTCGCCTTTAAGAAGAAAGGCACTACATGTACATAGTCATGTAAATATCTATGATTCAGAGAGTTAATATGAAATATTTCCTGTTTTCTTCCATGTAATTAATACATTAATGAATCAATGTCAGCACCTGTCGTTTGATTACAGGTGTCGCCAATCCAGGTGAATATAAACAAATAAGACTGCATCATATCAAATATAGGTATATAGATCTTCAGTAATAGTGCAGGTACGAAAAGGTTGCCCTTGATTCAAATATATGACTGTAAACTATCAAATAAGAAGGAGTAAAAGTTGGTCAAATTGTTGACAATGCAATGACCTAGATGTCAAATATCGTCAAAGGCGTCAATCGGCGCAGGTATGAAATATTACAAGGAATAAGTTCAGGTCATACGCAATATAATTTTGAACTTTAATTTCTTATTCCCAGTATAATAAGAGTTTCAATAATTCAAGGGTCTTTGTACGATTTTTTTTATGTCTGATAATGCAGTAAAAAACCCCTAAACCAGATACATAGAAAATACCAGTTAAACTATACTTAAATTAATTTTTCCTTAAAAACACAAAGACTTCCCTCATTTGATATCTGGAAAAACTCCTGGAAATGAATGCTGATTTTTTTTTTCAATTTATATAATATTTTTGATCATATAAAATAAATATCATACCTTTAAAACGAATTACATTGAGTCTTGATTTATTTAACAAATTAGTTAACTAGAGATATAAATGAAATCATACCTTATAAGCCATAAACATAATTTAAAAGAAAAGAGTGAGGCTGGTATTTGCTGATGACAAAGAGAAAATTAGAGGGTTATATAGTCCACAAATCTTTGTTCAAATCATGACGACGGATCAAAAGACATACATATCTATTTTATCAATCGATTTTAGCTTTTGATTACGATGCATGTTAGACTTTTGAAAAGTTGTATTATTTAGTCACTTCCGTGATAAATCTGGAAAATAAAGATTTTCAAAATTTTAATTAGGTTTAAATTATGCTTTTTGAATTCAACTAAAAGTTGTAAATGTATGACGAAACCTTATGATTTTCTTTCTCTAAAGTAAGGACAAACTTTTCTCCAGAAAAAATGTCTTTAAAAAGTGAGTTTCAAACAAAATTGAAATTTTAAAAAATACACTAAGTGATAAATTATACAAGAATAATCATCTTGCTTTAGTTGCTGTGAAATCTGAGATGAACATAAATGTTCTTTAATAATTTTTAGAAATCATTTATAGGTTTTGTATTTTTGAAATATGGGAAAAAAAAATCACAAAATGTCAAAATTGATAGTCCGTATACCATATCAAATCTATGACTTTATTTTTTTAATTACTCACCACCGCGAAGTATGATATGGTCGGCTTAGATGAAACGTATGTATTTATTTTTCTGGTTGTTTGAAAACCGAAGACAATTTTCTCTTAAAAAACTCTAAATCTATTATTTTTTCATCTCTAGGTAAATGATAATAAAATAATAAGTAAATCTTAATTAATTAAACTTTCTTCAATCATTAAAATATTATTTTTAGCTACCATATTCTTCTCTCTGTTGATCTTTTTCTTTTGTTATTTACAATTTTAGCCTCCCTCCCCGAAAAAATAAAGAAATATAAACAAATATTCAAGTAAGTCTTACAATGTGGAGATTATACTTAAAAAATCATTTTTGTTATTATTTAAATTTAACTCCTTGCCTGTCTTGTTTGTCACACCATTGACATTTTGCTCTTCTTCTTTGCCTAATTAATAAAAAAAAATATTTTTTCATTCTTTTGAATTAATTTCCCATATCGGATTTGTGTATTCAAATCATTTTATTGTCCCAGGAATTAAACAATATAGCCAATTTATCCTTGATTTCTTTTCTTTTTATTATCTAGAAACATTCCATGTGTAATTTTTGTTATTTTCATGCAAAACCAAAGAATCTGAACCTTGTTATGCAACTACGAACATCATATAAGATTCAAATTCAATTAACTCATATTTAACTTCACATTTAAAGCTGTCAGTCCATGCGTTGTTTTTGACGCCAAATATTATATTAAAATCAGAGATACTAAGGTAATTATTTTATTATAATCTTCAATTTTAGAATAAAGGAACGGAAATTCTACCACATGTATTAATGCTGACAATTTGCGTATAAATACTAATTACAATGAGACATTAATAAAAAACAAATCCTCCGAAACGAGATGTTTTTTTTTTGCTTCTCATCTTATAGAAATAGAATCATATTGTCGAAACAGTCGCCAAGATTTACATAACGCATTGTTAGGAGGAGACGTACAACTTTTGTGTGGTAGTGACTGAATTTCACAAAAATTGGTCATGGAATGTTGGTTAAACTTGCAAATTTTATATCTTTTAAGTTACATTCTGGAAAGGTGTTTTATAGCAATAAATGACAGTTTTGAGCAGTTTGAGTACACGAAGTAGGTATGTTCTAATTTGCGATTTTTATATGAGAGAGAGAGAGAGAGAAATAGTTGTTTTGATTTGATTTTATGTACATATGAACGTAAAAAAATATATTGCATGATATGCACGCTTCATATTGTAAAAAAAAACCCTACTTTTTTCTGTATGACGTAATTGTAATCAATTACGATGTTTTTAAAAAAACAAAACAGGAAAAAATTAAAAAGTTACAAATGCCAATCAAAACATTATCTTATGCATGGTATATCAAAAACATTCTACAAATTCTAACCTCATATAAGGAAATTTATTGCTTTAACAAAATAGGTTGTGTGTAGATGTTAATTAGTTGTTGTTTATTACAAACATGTGGTCAATTACGACACAGGACAAAATGTCACAAATGAGCAATAGCTGCGAATATTATTGATCAGTTAAATTGTTAGAATAGGAAAGTTAATGATTCATGTATGATTTATTTCAGTGGCGGATCCAGAAATCTTGAAAAAGGGGGGAGGGGGGCGACCAGTTTGGGGTCAGGGTAGGGATCCACAGACACATAAACCCCCCCACTAATTTATCAAATCTTGTGTATTTATTTGGACACAAAAGGGGAGGGGGCGGGCCCCCTGCCCCTCTAAATCCGCCAGTGCATTTGATTATTCAGAAAGGCTTTTCAGGTATATAAATACTAATTAAGGAAATGAATGAACTGAAAAAAAATCAATGGTTTGACTTCATTAAATTATTAAAGATAATCTTTTTGAAACAGTTTGCTTCTTATATATATAAATCAGAAAATAAATTGTGCTTTTTCATGTAAAATTTCAAATCGTAAGCTTTCATCCTTCTGTCAGAAAGAAATGAAATTATTTTCCATCTTCTAAGCCACTATCAAAGTTGTTTAAAATGGTACAGCAATTACAGAAGGAACCTGAAATGTTCAAAAGTTAACGAAAGACTCAAGGCGGCCTATAATTGGAACACCTAGAAACATACAGCACTTGGTCACCGAAGTAACTCACGTGAAATAAAATATCTTTTAGAACTTTTTTTCTTCTTTCTTTTTTATTGTCTTTATCGAAAATGCGCCCACAGCACCGTAATTATAAAACATATGGAGTTACAAAGTGATGAATACCACAGGGTTACTGCATAGGTGGCATGGATTATCTTATTCTTTGATGCATTTAAACAGTTGTCAGTTTTCGCATTTTGCCACACTGGTGCGGTACATAATGTTTACAGATAGGGCACAAGGAGAGAGAAAGGTCACACGAACCATGCACATGCCTTCAGAAACATTTTTTAAGTTAACAGAAAAAAGGAGTGATGTTTATTGAAATCTGTGTAAAACACGAAACCAAATGAGCCTCGTCGGATAGAAATCGACCTTATCGTATGCAACGTCATAATGAGAAATAAACGAATAAAGTTAAGAAAGATTTCCCGGTATTTTTACTACACATGGTTTTCACGTTAAGGAATGTTTTAGACATCGTCAACTGCAGTTCTCAGATTTGTTCTTTAAAAAATCGGATCATTTTAAATTTGTACTAATAAAATAAGCAAATTTTAAATGTATTTCCCTTCGTAGAGCCTTAACCTTTTTATTGTTACCATGGATCAATGTAAACAAAGGCCAGAGGAATGCCGAGTCCGATCTACATTTATTTTTTTTCAACCAGCAGAAGACGCGAGGTTTTATCTAACACCAGATTAAGATTAAGTTGGTAGACATATAGCAAAGCAAAATTGGCATGGTGAATTACTTAGGAAGAACAGAATATATCTTTTATTGTAGTTTAGAGTATAAATTTTAGCCAAAGGAGGCGTATCTGGCACAGAAAATCACACAATGTCATGTATTAATTGATGAAGTACTAGTGTGTGAACTTCATTTACTATCATCGTGTGTATTCATTCATTCAAGATTAAT